TCTACTATTTCTGATGCTTCTTTCCTAACGTACCGACTAAATGCAGAATTATAATTTGATGTTGTCTTTTATCTTTTTAATCACCCGATTTTATAGAGTCCTTATCAATTTGAAAATTATCAGGTTAGGATTGATCCAAACCAGCTCATTATGTATATGACTCCCCATGCCAACTATAAACCAACTTATTAGAAACACAAGACAGCCAATCCGGACTGTAACAAAATCTCCCGCTCTTCGGGGATGCCCTCAACGCCGAGGAACATGTATTAAGGTGTATGTGCGACTCGTTTAGATCATATACTGAAATTAAAAAATATATTCAATTAATAAGAATTGTATATATATAATTCTATTGTGTATAAAATTTATGCTTTCTCAATTGGTGCAAACCAAATTACCTTAATTTTGAATTTAAGATGAAATATACTTTTCCCATTGGTAACAAAAAGTGATCCATTAAGCGGGAAAAATCCTCTTTGAAATAAAGACAAATTATGCCCTAATTTTAGCAATAACGGACTAAGAGGGTCAACTACCCAGCTAATCTTCATACTTAAATACCGTTACTGTATAGCTAGATTTTATTGTGAAAGACCTATTACTATATATTCAATGGGTAGAGCTAAGAAGTGTGAACTGTACAAGTTCACAATAACATTGATTGAATCAAGATTCAATGAAGGAAGGGGCTCCGGTGTATAGAGAGGACCTCACCGTTTAACAAGTAATCATAGAAACGATGGAACCCACGATTTCTTTGTTTATTTCTATTTTATTTACTATGTTTTTTTGAATACCTAGTATCAATAGAAGTTATTATTAAGAGTTAAAATACTTATACTTAGAAAAAACGAAAAAAAAAAATAGTGGTTGGGAAGGTTATAGTAGCAAAAGCCATTGGAATTTATATTTTCCACATTGGAAGAATCCATGTTGTTCGTAATAGACTAGAAAGGATAAAAGAATAACTGAAAGAAAAAAATTAAATAGTTATTAATCAAAGTCTCATTTATCCAATGAACAGAATTAAACGAGGATCTATCGCGAGAAAACGGAGGACAAAATTGAGTTCCTTTACATCAGGCTTTCGCGGAGCTCATTCAAAACTTATTCGAATTATTTTCCAACAGAGAATAAAAGCTTTGGTTTCGTCTCAACGGGATAGAGATAAGAAAAAAAGGGACTTTCGCAGTTTGTGGATCAGTCGAATAAATGCAATAATAAGCCAGAATAAAGAAAAAATATACTATCGCTATAGTAATTTAATGTATAATCTGTACAAGAATCAATTGCTTCTTAATCGTAAAATAGTTGCACAAATAGCTAGATTAAAGGGGAATTGTCTTTTTATGATTGCCAACGATATCATTCAAAAATAAAAATTCCCCGGAGACTTAACTCCGGGAAGGTGGTAGAATAAAATAGATTTGTATGATAAAATAGAATTCATATGAATTAGAAAAAGAAATAATCAACCACGCTCAAAAAACAAAAAAAAAACTACCAATCCGCATAAACTTTGAGTTTAGATTCAATTAATTATTAAATTAATTGAAGTAACGTAACTCTATTTTTTTTTTTTTTTAAGAACAGGAGGAGTAGCTCTAGTAATCGACTTGATTTTTTCATATTTTTTTTTTGCATTTTTAACAAAAGGTGACGAATTTACAAAAGGTAACAAAGATAAAATACGAGCTTGTTTTATAGCAATCGTAATCAATCGTTGTTGTTTTAAGGTCAATTTATTCACACATCTAGGTATAATTTTTCCTTGTAGCGTGATAAATTCGAAAAGTAAACTCAAGTTTTTATAATCAATTCGATCCCCAGATTGGATTAGGGGCGAACTCCTACGAATTGATTGCTTCGATTTAACAAACAGTCGCTTAGATTTCTCCATGGTTTGTTTATTCCTATACCGAAAATCCCGTTTGTTTTATAAAAAAAGGATTTGTTTTAGTTATATTCTTATTTTTTTTTGTAATATATTTGGAAAATATATGCTATATAATGATCTATGTATATAATTTTATGTTATAGAATGTTATTTATATAATATAGATAAGATAATTTATCTGGTATCTATATAATTAATTTTTATGTATTTTTTCAATTTACCTCCTTAAGGGTGACACACAAGTAATCCATTTTCTCTATTTCTTGATCTCTGCGTGAATCATATGTTTGCAACAAAAGGGACAGAATTTTCTCAATTCCAATCGACTAGGCGTATTGTGTCGATTCTTTTGAGTAATATATCGAGAAATACCTCTAGATTCCTTATTAACACTCTTTTTATCACAACTAGTACATTCTAAAATAACAGTTATTCGGATATTTTTACCCTTAGCCATAAACCTCCTTTGGTTTTTTTATTCACTTAACTCTTCGATTTTAAGATTCGAAGGGAAGAAGAAAAAAGGAACGAAAAAAAAGATAAGTTGATAATTCAAAATCAAATTATGAAATATTTTGTTCCAATTAATTTTATATAGTACAGTAATAATTCACTACTACAATGCTTTCGAAATAGATTTCGAATCCAGAGTCTAGTATTTCAGTTTTTATTGAAATATCTTGTATGATATTATTGCCCCTACCCTAACAATTCCATTTCTGGTCTTACTCTTAATAATTAAGAATAGCAATGGAATTGAAGTATTAATTCAATTCCATTGAAACGAAACGTGGGAAAAATTCCAAATTTCACTGAGGCCAAATCCACCTTTCTTAATTTCCTCTTTTTTTTTTTGAACTTATTCTAGTATAATTCGAAAAAAAAAACGAACGAAGAGGGATTTAATCACAGATATTTTATTGGATCTCTAATCTTCGTCACCCCTTCCCGTGCCAATAACTAGAATCAAAAAAAAGGGAATGTCAATGCATCCGGGAATAAACGATTGATTTCTATCAAGAGACCTGCTAGAGCCGCGAACCATAAAGTACTTGCCACTGGTGCCACAGAGAGATATGTTTTTAGATCTCGCATTTCAAATCCTCCTTCGTTTTTTCTTGTAATTTGTAATACATAATAATACAGAATTACATATAGGAATATGATCCAATGTTTTTTTTTCTTAATAAAACCACTTGGATTTCTCGGGGGAAGTCCGAATCCAATTTGAATTGTACAACAATGAATTAGATCTTTTTTTATAGAGTACTATTTTTATATTCTTAATTTTATTTATTCAAATTGTTATCTTCTAATAACTATATTATTATATATTTTTTGAAATTATGAATTCTATGAAATATTAAAATAATATTTGAAATTATTCTATTTTTCATATATCAATTCTATTTTCTATATTATTTGTATATTCTTTGTTCTTGTTATTATACTTTTTCTATCTTATTATTTATAGATTCTATATATTCTCTGTTTTTCATTAATTGAATATAAATATTCTATAAGAATATTTGATTCGATATCTTATTTCTACGATCGATATAAGAAAGTAAAAAAACAAACAAAATGGCAGGATATAGATAATGGAAAAATGTGGAAAATAAGACAAAAATTCTTTAGAATGACAATGGAAACTGATGTAAAGGGATGTAGCGCAGCGTGGTAGCGCGTTTGTTTTGGGTACAAAATGTCACAGGTTCAAATCCTGTCATCCCTATCCCTAATATCATATCAGCAGTAACAAGAGATCAATTTTGAGCAATTGAAATTGTACATACATACTCAATATGAATAGTTCTCCATATTTAGTTTGTATGCATGCATGCAAGATATATTGCCATCACATCAAATTATTTAGGAAAAGAAAGCGCTCTTAGTTCAGTTCGGTAGAACGCGGGTCTCCAAAACCCGATGTCGTAGGTTCAAATCCTACAGAGCGTGATACCATTCTTCTGAGAATGAGACTAAAATAATGGGATAACAGTCTAAGTCTAATCAAAAGTGTTAATTTGATCTCCTGTGAATTAGGATTCAAACAAAAAAATAGGAAGTCAATAAACAAAAGAGACAGTACTAAATCAAATATCCAACTGATCGCCACGTCGGTATTGTAAATAGGCCGTTACAAATAATCCAGCCAAAGTAATAGGAATTAGACCTAACACGATTCCAAATAGAAAAACTTCAATCATTTGAGTTTGGTTGAAAGTAAAAAAGGTGGGGGTAATATCGATCCTTAAATATGAATTTATATTGACCATGAATCTCAATGACCAAGAATTGGAAATATGATAAGGAACTATAGAATATCTACAATTTCCAAATTTCTCTCAAAATTGCAAATCAAATAAGTCGTATCTTATTCAGACTGATAAAAATACCTGCGGTTATAGTTAAAACCGCTAGTAGAAAACCGAAATAACTGGTTAGAGTGGACATAAGGAAACTAGATGAAATATATTCTTTTTATACATATGTTTATAAAGCACTTTCCTAAGTTTCCATTTTTTTTTTTTTAGATAAAAATAGGAAAAGAAGCAAAAAAGACCACTTGAAAGATACAATGGAAAAGAATTGATTCATGAATCAATTATTACGGACAAACAAAAAGAAAAATATAGTTACATAGGTAAAAAATCAATTCATCATCTGTGACATCTACCCAACCTGTGATTCCAAATCAACAGATTTCTTGATCAACTCATGACATGAGTTGAGTAAACTAATCGAAGGAAAATTGTTTTATTTATTTATATAATTATATATAATATAACGTATATATATAATATAAATAATATAAAGTCCATATATATAGTCTTAAACTTTGAGGAATTTTCGATTCAGTACATCGAAACAAACAACCAGGAAAAAAAGAAATTTTCTTTTGTAGTACTCGATCTCGTCACTTATTGTGAAATTTCGTTGCTGTGTTAGAAGAAGGATAGCTATACTGATTTGGTATACTGGAACGAGACCCTTGGTACACGATTGACGATCGTAACAAAGATTGAAAATTTCAGTAAATTTCTACTTACTGATCTGATCTTTTATGGAATCGATCCCCCTTTGACTGTATAAGAATATGTGGAGCTCGGCATGTCTGGAAGCACAGGAGAACGTTCTTTTGCTGATATTATTACCAGTATTCGATACTGGATTATTCATAGCATTACTATACCCTCCCTATTCATTGCGGGTTGGTTATTTGTCAGCACGGGTTTAGCTTACGATGTATTTGGAAGCCCCCGTCCAAACGAGTATTTTACAGAAAGCCGACAAGGAATTCCTTTAATAACCGGCCGTTTTGATTCTTTGGAACAACTCGATGAATTTAGTAGATCTTTTTAGGAGGCTCCAATGACCATAGATAGGACCTATCCCATTTTTACAGTACGATGGTTGGCTGTTCACGGACTAGCGGTACCTACCGTTTCTTTTTTGGGATCAATATCAGCAATGCAGTTCATCCAACGATAAACCTAATCCGAATTATAGAGCTACGACACAATCAAACCCAAATGAACAAAATGTTGAATTGAATCGTACCAGTCTATACTGGGGTTTATTACTCATTTTTGTACTTGCTGTTTTATTTTCAAATTATTTTTTCAATTAATTGAAGAAAAGAGAATAGTATTTATATATTAGGAATTCTCTTATCCCATTCGGAAGGATATCATTTCATAATTATCTATGACTGTTTAGGTCTCTAGTATGACTGACTACTTGATCAAATGTGGAGGAAAGTGGGATAAATGGCCGATACTACTGGAAGAATTCCTCTTTGGATAATAGGTACTGTAGCTGGTATTGTTGTGATCGGTTTAATTGGTATTTTCTTTTATGGTTCATATTCCGGATTGGGATCATCCCTGTAATAATCGGATAAATTTAGTTTTCGAAATGAAAGCATAAGAACTCAACGGGGATCCACTCTTTCTTTGATGAATTCGAAGGGGTCCCGTTGAGTTCTTCATAATCAGAATATTTTTGTCAGTGAGTCAATAGATAACTTTATTGTATGTTTCAAAAAATTCCATTTCCTTTTTTTAGGATCTTCCCTGTAAGAATAGGGAACTATATACTATATTTAATACTCTATTAAACATAAAAAAGATTCTGTAGAACCAAACCTTTTTGATACTAACAGAATCTTACTAGAAATCTATTTCTAATATAGACTCATGATTAAATTCTTTTTTTGAAGTGAATTAAGAAAGTTGTATTTGCTGAATTCAATTCCCGGTCTTTTTTGTTTGTCCATTCCTTAACTACGTATCGATTTCGACATAAACAAGAAGGAATTGGACTCTAGGAAAAGACAAATTATCCATCCTAGAATCCTGTTTTCCCTTTTTCTACTTTACTTAATATTATCTACCTACCTATTTTTTTAGGTTTAGTATCGAGTCGAATTTCATTCTATTACAATATAAATTCTAATATTTCTATTCTAGGACATGAAAATGTGAAAACAGCGACATAATCAGCGACATAATCATATGGTTCGAATTAATTGTGCAGTTGAAAAAAAACCAAGAACCAAAGGTCTTTACACAGAATTTATCAACAAAAATGGAGTTCTTTTTACCAGCTTAATATGTTGATAAATTGACATTCCTAAAAATTCATTTCAGACAATTGCACCTTCTCAAATTGTTTCTTTTTAAGAACCAAAAAAATTTGTGCCAAAATAATAGATGCCAAGAAGAGCAAGAGACCTTGGACACGTAACGGATCTTGAAGCACTATTTCTGCATCCCCCTGACCAAATCCACCCACATTAGGATTACTCGTTAATGGTTGATCAAGTTTGATAGATTCACCCTCTGAAACAAGAAGTTCTGGTCCTGGCGGTATAATATCAATCACTTCACGTCCATCTGATGCATCTACTATCGTTATTTCGTATCCACCTTTTTCTTTTCGTATTATTTTGTTTACTACACCCGTTGCTGTAGCATTATAAACATTATTATTACTCTTGCTTCCGTCGGGATAAATCTGACCCCTTCCCCTGTTCCCGCCTACGTATATAGGATATTTTAAGAAGTAAACATCTCTCTTAGTAGCGGGATCTGGAGAAAGAATAGGAAAGGTAATTTCACTATATTTTTTTCCAGGAACGGGGCCTATCACAAGAATATTTTTTTTTGTGGGACGATAGCTTTGAAAAGACAAATTACCTATCTTTTCTTTAATCTCGGGCGAAAGACGATCAGGAGGGGCCAATTCAAAACCCTCTGGTAAAATAAGAACAGCTCCCACATTCAAAGCCCCCTTTTTACCATTAGCAAGAACTTGTTTCACTTGCATATCATAAGGAATTCGAACAACTGCTTCAAATACTGTATCGGGAAGTATCGCTTGTGGAACCTCAATATCTACGGGCTTATTAGCTAAATGGCAATTAGCACATACAATCCGGCCGGTAGCTTCTCGAGGATTTTCATAACCTTGTTGGGCAAAAATAGGATATGCATTTGAAATGGGTGCTCGAGTTATTATATATATCATGAGCAATACGGAAATGGATCGGGTAATCTCTTTCTTTATCCAAGAAAAAGCATTTCTAGTTTGCATGGTCCAATCATTGATCCTGAAAATTTCTACAATAAGATTAGGTAGGTTACTGGCACAGTTCCCTATCCATGATTCTGCTATTTACTCCAATTCTTTTCCTATAATATAGGAAGAATACGAGTAAAACGAAAACGAATAAGTTCAATTTTAAATGTTTAGCTTTTCTATACAAAAAACAAATTTTAGAATTGGATCAGTGGGTCGTTTTTTCATTCCTTCATTGAATGATAAATGACTACAAGCGACGGAGATACACGATTTAAATAACGGAAAATAGAATATTTAAAAATAGTATCTAAAATGACTGGAAAAATCGAAACAAGACAAGATAGAATCTGATCATTCGGAGTAAATCCAAAATCTTTATAGACAGACCCAATCATTAGTTCCCAACCCTGAGTCGAATGGAATCCTATACAAAAATCAGTTAATAAAAGAATAGAAAAAGCTTTTATTGTGTCACTTAAGTTATATAGAAATTCTTGAACCCAAGAGTTAAGAATAATGAGTTCTTGATTACCTCGAATAGAATAACCACTTAGAATAAGGAAACAGATTATATTTGTACAGAAATGGAAAATCGTATGGATACGATCTAGGTTGTTCGTCTCGATCAATTGGATGGTCTCTTTGTAGATTTCGATACGAAGGTTTTGTAAACGTGTTTCCGGGTATTCCTTTAGCATTTCATCCAAGAGGAACAGTTCCTCGAACTCTAGCAATTTCTTTAAAATACTTTTTTCTTGAATAGTATTCAAGACAATTTCGGATTCTTTCATATTCCACCAATTAGTAATCCAAGATTCCAGACTTTTCTGAAATGTAAAAGAGATGCACCAGGGCAAAAAGACTATAGATGTAAGACATAGAAGGGGAATGCATGCTTTCTTTTTTGCCATTTTTCGTCTTTAATGAACTCAGTTTCATCTCATTTTTCAACTATATATAATAATAATCTTTCTATCAAGCATAAGTTCTATTACAAGTAAATACAAGTAATAGAGCTTAGCCTAGAATATATCAATTTATAATTTTTTCATAGAAATTGAGAAGCTATTCTTTTTATTTGTAATTCGGAGGTTAGTTTCTTTTTCCTTCAATTTGAAAAAAGAATCCAAAAGAATACAGAAATCAAATAAGAAAACGAAATAAGCCATTGCCAATTTGAATGAAGAAGAAAAAAAGTGTTTCAAAAGCTATGAATTAAAAATGAAATTGTTTGGATACAGCGATTTCCATTGGTATACTCAAGAATATGGAACGATTTCCATTGGTACACTCAAGAATCTGGACAAGTCCCAAGCTTTTTGTATAACGTTGCATGGAGTCCTATCATCAACAGGAGTCAAGGGAATGGTCCCCTGTTCTCTGGTTTGCATATAAAGGACACCACTACTAGGTTCTGGGTTAGCTTGTAGTATGAGGGACTGAATATCTTCCATACGAACTCGGAGAAAAATACGACGATATGTTCCAGGAAATCCGTAACGAAAAAAACATACCATTCGATTTTTTTTATCGAAAAAATTATAGCCACTCCCCACATTCCAAAAAATTAGAAGCCACCAATGTAAACTTAGAAAGAGACCGGCAATTCCATAGAAAGTCAGCGTGACTCCTTGTGTCAAAAAAGGAATGACAAATTCGGACGAAATGAAAGAGAAAAAATCCCTCCCATAATAACTGGAAACTGAAATATATAAAACTCCTAATGAACCTAAAAGAGTGAAAGACGCCCAGAATAAATTGATAATTTTTCGGGACCCCGGTACAATGTCAAGCCATGCGTCTTGTGAACGACAACCAAGTTTTTCTGACCCCCAACTAATGAATTTTGGAACATGAACCAATAAAGCAGACATTACAATTAATACAAGGCCCACTAAAAACACATAAACGTTTATCATAAAATGGGTGCCTCAATTTCATATTTGTACCTGTTCTTTTTTCTTGATTGTTAGATTAATATTTATGTTGTTATATGAAAACCTCCTTATCTTATTAAGGCTTATATAATATTAGTACTTTTCTTTTTTTTTTATTGAAGGCAATAGTTATTCAAAAATGGAACAAAAGAACAAATCCAAACTAAAAAATTTAACCCTATTTTCAAAAATATATGAAACTTGTGGTATCTAAAAAATATTGTTTTTTTGAACATGAAGAAATATTGTGGTATCTAAAAAATATTGTTTTTTTGAACATGAAGAAATAAAGAAACCATTGCAACTGCCGGAAATACTAGGCCTACTAAAGGAACAAAAAGGGATGGTAAGTTTATCATAAAATGGGGTACCTCAATTTCATATTTGTACCTGTTCTTTTTTGTTGATTGTTAGATTAATATTTGGATTCTTCTTATATTGGAATAAAGAAAGTCTATAATCACTAGAATTCATATAGACTTATACTAAGTCTATTTTTTTAATTCTACTATGTAGAGCTAAATAAATAGATATGAATATATATATATATTCTATATGGAGTATATAAAGAGAATAAACCCATAAGAAAAAAATGGAATAAGATTTATTAAGAATCAAAATCGTTAATTTTAATAATTTGAATATTAAATTAAATATAAGGAATGTCGAACGAAATAACTGGATTTATTTTGCTGTCTATTTCTACAAGAAATATGTCCATGATAATTAATCTTTATTTTTTATTCTTATCTTATTACTTTACTCTTGTGTGTGTTCTCATTTTCTTTTTATATCATTTTTATATAATAAGAAGATTTCTTTATGATATTCATTTTATGATATTAATGAAAAGTTAAAAATTGAAAAACATAAATAAAATGATAGTCTGCATTAGTTTTCATTTTCAATCCAAGGAAAGCAACCATGGAATTCAAATAACTCACTTAAAAAGTCCTTTAAAGAATCACG